AATTTGGAAGTTGGTTGTTGAACCTTGTGGCGAACAGATCTATTTGAGGCTGTGATGACAGGTAGATCATCGACTGAAAGATCTGGGGCAGTAACTTCCACTCTGTCGGGGACGGTCTGTTGGATCGGGACAAGGCATCGGTGATCACATTTTTTACCACGGAAATGTGTCTGGCTCTGGCTACGATGTTGAGTGAGTCTATGAGATGGAAGAACCTGATCGCCCATTGTAGCCGATTCGCCGAGCCTGTTGAGCCTAGATGATTTATATACCAAACCACTGTCGAATTGTCTGATTGGATCAACAGACTGGTTGATTGAAGCTCTGTTGCCCAATGTGAGATAGCTTGAATTACCGCCTTGAATTCCAGTACCCGTTCGTCCGATGACTACAGCCTGGCCACTTGGTGGCCGAGGAAGTGAGCTCCCCAACCCATGAGGGATGCATCGACGAATAGGTCATGAGTCGGTGCAAACAGCATCATAGAGACTCCGGCACAAACATTCCGATCGTCGAGCCACCATTAAAGGACTGGACGAAGCGGTTCTGGAAGGCAAATTAGTTCCTTGGGGTTATCGGCCTGAAGGTACGGGCGTAGAAATCGCTGTATCGGCTGAAGTTGGAGCTGGCCTCTGTACGATAAGGCTTGAGCTGATGTCAGAAGGCCCAGTAGCTCCTGCCACTGTCGTAAGGTTCTTGCCTTAGACAGTGCTGGAGGAATGCATTGCTGAATCTTTATCCACCTGTCGTGAGGGACGAACATCATCCCCTGACGAGTGTCGAACAGTGCTCCAATGAATTGGAGTTTCTGAGTCAGTATTAGATCCGATTTCGTGATGTTCAACAGCCACCCTAACTGTCTGAGCAGCGTGGTGGTGAACTGTAGCTGGCGAAGCAATACAATCGGATCCTGTTGAGCCTGGATGCAATCGTCTATGTAGTTTCGAAGGTGATCCCTTGAAAGTGGAGGAAGCTTGGTATTGGCTTGGTAATTCCGGTAAAAAGCCACGTGGTAGGACTTTCCATTGGTAGTGAACATGAGGCGAAGGTACTTCCGGTGTATCGGAACGTGAAGATAAGCATCCTGAAGATCCAGGCTGATAAGGAAGTGTCCCTTCTTCAGGATGGTGCGTAAAAGGTTGTTCGACACCATCCTGAAGTGAGGCGGCGGAAGCAGGAATCGGGAATTGAACAACTTTCATATTGAAGATGAGCTGGAGTTTGTTGGAATTTTTCTTTGGAACCAAGAAGATGGGGGAGTAGAATCCTGGAGAGACGGGTGATGGACCTAGGAGCTCTATCGCGAGTTTGTCTAATAGTGTACCTATTGTGGATTGCAGAGTCTGAAGCTGGTCCACAGGATATGAGCAATGAGCCGGATGGGGACTGCCAGTAACGGGTAGCTGATTACCAGTGAAGAAGCAGGTTGGTGACGTACGGATCTTTGAGGATGCTCCAATTCGGGGCGAAGTTCTGCAATCTCCCGCCTACCGGAGTGTTGTAAATCGGAACGACTGGGGGCCGGAGGTCCCAATCGTGCGATTGTCTCAAGCCGTCACTGCTTCCCGGCGCTGGTGCCTGGGCCAGAGTTGGTCCTGGGGGGCCGACGGGAGGAACCACCACGGCCAGATCTGTTTCCTCTGCCACAGCCTTGAGTGGATGCGCCATGAAACAGATTGCGTAAATCCGGATTGGTAGGGGTGAACTGTGCAGTTCGACGCTGTTTTAATGAGTCCTGGAGCTGTGACTTCTGTATCTTTAACAGTTCAATCGAGACTGGTGTTTCTTTATCAACTTTATTATATACTTCTTGGATGCTACCATTGAAGAGGGAGTCAGTAAACCAAGGCTGGCGAAACAGTTCTGTTTTAAATCACTCGTCCCATGATGAGATGTTAAGGGGTCCATGTCGGCGAACAGCAAGAGTGTAGCCCAAAAAATGAGACAACTGATCCAGGATAATTTGGACCAGATGAAGAGCCAGGAGCTACCGAAGCCGGATGGGCTGGAGTAGACGGCTGTATTTGGTTCCAGGCTGAGGTTATGGCCCTGATCATCATATTTAGATCCGGAGTCGCTGTAGGAGAGGGATTGTTATCAGGTTCCCATGACTCAGATCCTAGAGTGAGTCGAAGGATTCTCAGAGCGTGTAGACGGAACATCGTAAGAGACTGTAGGCCTATTAGTGGTATCAGAGCAATGATCACCCGAACGTCAGTCAGAGGAACTGTATTGAGAGCTCAACACGGTAAGTACCGAAGTAGGTTGGTAAGCTGGTGATCTGGATTCCCTAGTATGGCTAGGTGACCGGTATGACATGAAGAACTAGTCCGGGTCACTGTAGTTCTGATTGGAGCTCTGGTTTGACCATCTGAATAGGATCGGCCATGAGATGTGGATCTGTACTGTGATCCCGTTTGGTCAATGGCTCTGTAAGGTGATCTAGATCGTTTAGGTGACCTGGGTTGGTAAGATGATCTGGATTTGCAAAGTGATCTGGATCGATTCGATGCACTTACTGGAAATTGTGATTGTGATCGTGATCTGGATCTATAAGGTGATCTGGATCGAACAGGTGATCTGGTTTGCAGTTGCAATCTGGCTTGATTTGGTGATCTGGATCGGTCTGGCGATCTACTTCGATGTTGTGATCTGGATTGGTTAGGTGACCCAGATCGGTCCGGTGATCTGATTTGAAGTTGTGATCTGGATCCATTCCGTGATCTGGATTCGATAAGGTGATCTGGATCGGTCCGATGATCTACTTCGATGTTGTGATCTGGATCGGTTCGTTGATCTGGATCTGTCCGGTGATCTGATTTTGAATTTGTGATCCGGACCCGTTTGGTGATCTTGATTGGTTAGGTGATCTGGATTGATCAGGTGATGTGGATCGTAGTTGTGCTCTGGATCGTGACTGTGATCTGGATCGATCCAGTGATCTTGATCGGCACGGTGATCTGGATCGTGAAGGTGATCTAGATCGTTGTGGTGATCTAGAATGATGTAGTGATCTGGATCGGCGATTAGGTGACGAAACCTGAAGTGTTGATTCATGATGAACGTTCCCCCGGCGACGCTGTTGTAGCCAGCTCCGTCCGGTTCAATGAACTGTGGGGAGACAGTTGGCTGGTTGAACGCGGCTGGCCAGGCTCCAAACAAACTGAGACAGTCGAGGGGATATGTACCGATGATCTGGATGATGATAGTGTGGATCTAAGGTCCCTTGGTAGTGTAGATGGGACAGGCAATGAAGAATTGTCGATCACAACCACCCGTGAGTGATCTGACACTTTGGAAGGAGGTGACTGATGGGTACGTAGTAGGTGCCGAACATCCTCAGATAAGTAAGAATCTGCTGAAGCATCCATAAAATCCTCTGGAACCACAGACGTCGCTCTCTTGCGTGAATGTACGACTTTCTGTCGCTGTAACTTGATACGCTTGGTGGGAATGGGATCAGATTCTGTTCATTTCCTGTCCCTATCGGCGATTCTCCAGGAGCAAACACAAGGTAGGCCTTTAAATCCTCATCTTTTAGTGAATTACACTTGCCACATCATTTGTTCCAGTTTGTCCAATACAGTCACTGCAAGACGAGTGAGGGTCGAGGGACGAATAGTTCGTCTTGCATTGAGCACAAACTTTCCTTTTCCTTGACTGATTATCAGTTTTCCCCATGTTAGGGTGTCCCTAATATACAGCACGTCCACATAGTCGTGTGACAAGAAAGAAAATGATCATTCAAGGTAGTCACATGGGCAATTAGTGGAGCATGCTGCAGGCTTTATTAGGAACTAGGAAGCTAATTAAGGAGAGCAGCATGGAGTGCACAGGCGAATGGACAAGGAGGCCTATGGAAAAAAGTTTACAGTCTTTCCACTAAAAGTCGAAGCAAGAGAGAGAGGTGCAAGTCGTGAGATAGGATAAGTTTAAAAATTATTTGTTTATTAAACTAATCGTTTTATTTTTTTAAGCCTTGGGCTATAATTCAGGTCAAATGTTACCCTGTCAAAACAGGCAAAATTAGTAATTAAGCCCTAGGCTAAAATATGTGCAGTCTTGGTACTACTTGATATGAAGTACTTAATAGAAGCAGACTTAATATGAGTGTATATGATATCAGTTTTAGTCTATAAATTATTCAGTTTCCTAAACATTTTAATAATATAATAATGCAATAGTTGTCAAATGTGTTAACATTATCAGAATTAGCTAAAAAAAATTACTATTATGATTTTAATTTTAACCACAAAATACCATGTTTTGAGTTTGTGCAAATAAAAGTCTGCCAGTGACAGGGTCCAACCTTTGGGCTACACAGGTGTAACAAAGTGTTACAAACCGACTTCTACAACTGACTACTTACCTGTTACAACTTGTGTAACGATAACAGGTGTGACATTAACAAGCTATTGATTGAGTGTGACAAGTCATCACTACTAAGATAAGAGCTGATATTCACATCATTCATTTATGCTGCTCTTAGTTGTATTCCAGCAATATCACGGCAGGAGACATCAGAAATGGGCTTCACACATAACAGCAACTTGAAAGGTGATGGACTAACAGTTTTTAAATTCCCCAAAACAAATTACGAAACATATGAGCTAGTTTCATATGTTTGTGTATGATCTGAAAAACTTTAATGAACAAAAGTGAAAAAATCTCAAAGCTGAAAAATACCAATGCAGATTTAATATTTTGATAGCCCCACTATTGTTATTACTTACTACAAAACCACCAACAGTGGGGCAAACATAGCACACATGGCAGTCCAGGACACCTCGACAATTTGAATCATCATTCTATCTTATAAGTAAACACTAATATTCTCAAGGCAGACAGTCTTTAACCTGGCACTAATGTGATTGCTTTCAAAGGTTTGAGAACATGGTGTGGGTCACTAACAACTCAAGCATGGAATCAGGTAACAGTTAATGCATAAAACTGTAAGAAATAATCTATTGTTCAAGAAACATAACAAAACATGAACTTACTTTGAGTCTACTGTGAGTTGCGTTGTCTTTCCACCAGGTAAGATCACCTCCAATTCAATATTTCCATCAATAACTTCATTCATATTTACATCATCAACTGGTTCAGAGCTGTATTTGAGGGGTGGTGGAACACTCCCATTATTTGTTTGAGGGGGAGGAGGTTTCTTACTCTCCATCCCCACAGGGACAGATGGGGAGAACCCCCGCTTGGTGCTGCTCATGCCGTTCCTGCAAACATAGAAATCATCATCACTATTGTTTCATTGCCACCCTGATCATCATCAACATCATTGTCATCGTCATCCTCCTCCTCCTCATCATCATAATTTACATCATTATCATCATAAGAACATCATCCTCACTGACACATCCCTTACCACTTCTATATATAATTCATGCTGACATTGAGGGCATTTAGGACTGCCACTGTGGAACAAGGGCTTAGCTTCATAAGTGAGCATAAGTTAATATCAGTGACCTCCTAGTGGAACATGTGAAACGTTCCAACTTATCATTCAACACAATCTTTCCAAATAGATGTATCTATTACACGACCCCTGACATCAACACACATAGACTTCCGTTAACAGCTCAAGGTTTTCACAAATCAGGATATATTCATTTCCTTTATGTTACAACAACTGTGACACATCTGTGTGTCTAGTGATGTTTAATTGCAAATTTGACATCTTTACTGACAAAGTTGTCTTCTCTTGTTTGTTTGCTAACGCAAAGCGATATGATGTTGTGTTCTCACATCCTGGAAAAACGTTTGACGAAAGTGTAGTCCACAGACTGCTTTTTTTGGTCCTCAAAATTCGGCTTATCTACGGTAATATATGGTACATATACACAGTTAATCACTATTGTGTCAAACACTGTTGTGTCAAACAATGTTGTGTCAAACACTGTTGAGGCAAACACTGTTGTGTCAAACTGTGACATGTCAAACACTGTTGTGTCAAACACTACTGTGTCAAACACTGTTGTGTCAAACTGTGACATGTCAAACACTTGTGTCAAACTGTGACATGTCAAACACTGTTGTGTCAAACACTGTAGTGTCAATCACTATTGTGTCAAAAACTGTTGTCAACACTATTGTGTCAAACACTGTTGTGTCAAACATTGTGTAAAAACACTATTGTGTCAAACACTGTTGTGTCAAACTGTGACATGTCAAACGTACAGTTATTTCCAAGTACACGCTTGATCCCCCGGTATACTTTCTTCAGTCATGTATATTAAATTGTGTTGAATCGAGTTAAACTAAGTATTTACATATGTTTCGTCGGCTTTATGTGAGAGAGAGAGATTGTATATTTAGATATGTCCTTTCATAGCGTATCACTTTCAAGATTAAATCAAGACACAAATATTCATGGCACACCTTCTGCACAGGACACTGAAGTCAATTGAAACGAGGGTTATTTGCAGAACTTCTGCAAAGCCTAAACGTAATATGTTCAACTACTGTTTACAAGTAAATGACAATGGACTGATGGAAAATAGAATGTAAAGGCCTATGTGTGTATGAGTGTGGATGGATTGATGTGTGTATGAATGTGGATGGATTGATGTGTGTATGAGTGTGGATGGATTGATGTGTGTATGAGTGTGGATGGATTGATGTGTGTATGTGTGTGGATGGATTGATGTGTGTGTGGATGGATTGATGTGTGTATGAGTGTGGATGGATGGATTGATGTGTTGATGTGTGTATGAGTGTGGATGGATTGATGTGTGTGGATGTGTGTATGAGTGTGGATGGATTGATGTGTGTATGAGTGTGGATGGATTGATGTGTGTATGAGTGGGGATGGATTGATGTGTGTATGAGTGGGGATGGATTGATGTGTGTATATGTGTGTATATCATGTTTCCCATGAACAGTAGATGACGTCTACACAGTTTAACTGACTAATCAACTCTGAGAATCATAACAACGTATAAGAACAATTGATGGAGAATTTCTGTCTTTCAATGCTAGTGGATAACCCTCTTAACTTATCCTTGGGCTACCTAAACTTCAGACATCATATGAAGAATGAGGACTATCTTTATGGATGTACAACTTCTTTATTCTATATAGGCGACATTTCGACATAGATTCTAATGTCGTTGTCAAGCAAGTGGTCACATCTGTGTCGAAACCTCGCCTTTATAGAATAAAGAAGTTGTACATCCATACAAATAGTCCTCATTCTTCATCTACCCAACTTTTAGAATGCCAATCAAAGATTTCAGACATCATAGAGAGGATACACTTGATATTTTTCAGTAATTATGATACATTTCTAGTGATAATATCAGAAAAGGAATATCCCCTCACTATTAGATGAACAGTGATGTACAGACAGTGAGATACAACAATGAGTGGCCCCATTCTCACCACTTTCAAGCAAAGAAAGCAAGTGAAGGAAGCAAATGTCTACCAGCTCCCCCACTTTGAGTGGAGGACTAGATGTCTCAAGCTAAGTGTCTCACTGAATCCACAACAAAGGCCAGGTCAGGGTAGGTAGGTAATTTGACAGGATATCTCTGGAATGTGTGTGTGGACCATCATTTGAGGTATCTGAGTGAAACACAATAAGGACTGAGTTCCTTCTCCTGCGAGTGCTATTAGACATAAGTGAAGGGTCCTTTGATGAAGCGTCCTATATTTAGCAGTATGGTATGGACCAGTGAACCCATGAATATCAAATCTGACACATTTTTCATTTCAAAATTCCTTTTGAAATATGTCAAATAAAAAAAATTGCAATATTCAGATCTTTTGTAAAAATTCAGTGATAATTTTTCAAAAAATAATTTGTTTGCATTTCACTTAGTGTTTAGTTTAAAGATACGTTTACACCAATGGTAGGTGTTTGTGATCCTTCATTTACAAACATAAACAGGGCAAACCTGGATTGTAACCAACGATCACAGGTTGCTGGTGTACCCAAGGGACATTACTCCGCACAGCATAATGCATCCCATGACTGCTCAGTATATCACAGGTTTTACATCTACATGTATATACAAACAAAGAGGTTTAGAAACATAGGAACTTACTGACATGCTATCCCTGATATTTTATAGAAATATTGATCATGACTGTGAGTAAACTTTATCAAGTAAATTGTAGTCATTTGAAGAAAGGTGTACTCAAGTAAATATTCCATCTTGAACTCAAACAATATTGCATCTAATTTCTTATGTACGAGATGTCTTTTGACGAATCCATCAAATCTGTTCCTCTCTGAAAGATAATAATTGTCTAATGAAACACAAGTGTCAGGCTTACATCACCTGTATTGCAGATATAGCTAATGGCTTACATCACCTAATTGCAGATACCATAGCTAATTGCTTACATCACCTGTATTACAGATATCATAGCTAATTGCTTACATCACCTAATGGCAGATACCATAGCTAATGGCTTACATCACCTGTATTACAGATACCATAGCTAATTTCTTACATCACCTGTATTGCAGATATCATAGCTAATGGCATACATCACCTGTATTACAGATATCATACCTAATGGCTTACATCACCTAATTGCAGATACCATAGCTAAATGCTTACATCACCGGTATTACAGATATCATAGCTAATGGCTTACATCACCTAATTGCAGATACCATAGCTAATTGCTTACATCACCTGTATTGCAGATATATCATAGCTAATGGCTTACATCACCTGTATTACAGATATCATAGCTAATGGCTTACATCACCTGTATTACAGATATCATAGCTAATTGCTTACATCACCTGTATTGCAGATATATCATAGCTAATGGCTTACATCACCTGTATTACAGATATCATAGCTAATGGCTTACATCACATAATTGCAGATACCATAGCTAATTCCTTACATCACCAGTATTACAGATATATCATAGCTATTACATCACCTGTATTACAGATATCATAGCTAATGGCTTACATCACCTAATTCACCATGTATTGCTTACATCACCTGTATTACAGATATCATAGCTAATTGCTTACATCACCTGTATTGCAGATATATATCATAGCTAATGGCTTACATCACCTTTACATCACCTGTATTACAGATATATCATAGCTAATGGCTTACATCACCTACAGTATTAGCAGATATATCATAGCTAATGGCTTACATCACCTGTATTGCAGATATATCATAGCTAATGGCTTACATCACCTGTATTACAGATATATCATAGCTAATGGCTTACATCACCTGTATTACAGATATATCATAGCTAATGGCTTACATCACCTGTATTACAGATATATCATAGCTAATGGCTTACATCACCTGTATTGCAGATATATTTTAGCTAATTGCTTACATCACCTGTATTGCAGATATATCATAGCTAATGGCTTACATCACCTGTATTGCAGATATATCATAGCTAATTGCTGACATCACCTGTATTACAGATATATCATAGCTAATTGCTTACATCACCTGTATTGCAGATATATCATAGCTAATGGCTTACATTACCTGTATTACAGATATCATAGCTAATGGCTTACATCACCTGTATTACAGATATCATAGCTAATTGCTTACATCACCTGTATTACAGATATCATAGCTAATTGCTTACATCACCTGTATTGCAGATATATCATAGCTAATTGCTTACATCACCTGTATTACAGATATAATAGCTAATGGCTTACATTACCTGTATTGCAGATACCATAACTAATGGCATACATCACCTGTATTACAGATATATAATAGCTAATGGCTTCCATCACCTGTAGTACAGACAGCATATCTTGTGGCTTACATCTACTGTGTTGCAGATATCATAGCTAACTACTTACATCACCTGTATTACAGATATTCAAGCTAATGGGCCTTACACTCTAACCAGTAGAACTCCTGTTCAAACTAAGCCAGTCAATAACTACAGTAAGGGTCACTTGTACATGCCATCCTTGGTAACATTACATTTTTATTACAAATGCTTAGAGTGAGTGAGTGATACATATTTCTTTCTCGAGCCTGTGATACAAAAGAGTTTATATGTAAATGCCGACAGACCAGAAAATGTGAGTAATTTTGTTTAACACTAAACAGTCTTTCAGTGACTGAAATTGACGTCAGCGATGAAGTATCAAGATGAAGGACTCCAACTGATGATCAGCTGGCTTCCTGAACACATGCTTCATGACCTAGCAAACTAACCACTAGTATGGATGTCACGATGGTGACAG